GCTACAAAAGCACATAGTAGGAGCCTGGGGCAGAACAAGGAGATGGCTATTGGGGCGACTGGCTTGGCACGTACTCATTGGTGCCCGATCCCTGTATGAGACAGTGGTGGGCTACCAGAGGCTACCCTTCGCAGTTCATACCCTCTCTGTATTGCTCCTGTGGTTCTGTGGACCCCTGCTTACTGAACGCAGCCCTACTGCCAACAGGCTGGCTTTTGTCGGTCATCTCCACTGACTCCTTGCAGGGTCAGAGGACCAAAGGCTGAAATCCCTGGCCTAGGAGAATTGTCTCCTGTTTTCACAAAATGACTGTGCTGTTCGAAAGGCTGGTTTATCTCTTGTTTTGACAGAAAAAAATTAATAAAATTCTGTGTCTTAATCTGCAAGGGTAGCTCAGCGTGACCTTTACAGACAAATACCTGCGTGAACGCAGGGATGTGATAATACTGCACAATGTATTTACCAGAAAGTATTTCTAAATTATATAGGAAATTAAAAGCTAACATTCAATTAAGATGGGAGTTTATGTAGTCACTCTCCTTTTCCCAGTGTTCTGGTTTCAAGCAAAAAAGTGCAGCCTGAATGCAATACTTATGTATCTATGGAGCTCAGGTCCTGGTTTTGAAAGTGAGGCCTATCCTCGCTGGGCTCAAGCGTCTCTACCTGTTTTGTCTGATGCCCTACTAAAGCTTATTCCCAAATAGGGGTGTAAAGCCAGGTAGTTTGGATGTGGTACAAGCTAGGACTTATATGCAGGCACAATTCATGGCGATCCTAAGATACAGTACAGAGCTAGCCTAAGAATCCACGAATTTAAAGAATGGGAATTAAATTCCTAGAATTTTTAGATATTTGAAATTTTTATCTCAGTTCTTTTTACTATTCCCCCCCCAAGAGAAGAGCAAACAGTGAAAAACCTATTACTTTTACTGTAACCATATAGTATTATTCTTAAAATGATTGCACATAAAGCTTTTGATTGGGTACCATGCGCTGGGTGACCCAAATGCTCTGGAAAGTAAGGCAAATGAAATAATCTACATAGTTTAAGAACTGAAACTGTCCACATCCCTATTCTAATGCTGGTTGGTTCTGTAGTGCTGAAGTGAAACTGGTTTTTAAATCAGAATTTAGTTTGTTTATGGAATAAAAATAAGAAAAACTATAAAAATTGCCATTGAGGCGGTCAGTAAACTTTAATACTGTAAAGCAATTTTTTAAAAGTCAAGAAATTCCCATGTTAAAATCACACAAGCCATTTACAGGCTGCAACGTATGATAAATGTACAGAGTATATGCAGTTTTTGGTATTCAAAATGCACAGTTACTGTCGCTATTGTATAAGTTAGGATAAGCTGAAGGGCTCAGGTGACAGAAGGAAGTTAAGAAGGAAGGAAAGAATGACATGCCAAACGTGACAGATGAAGTGGTTGTGTTTGCTCTAGTAGTAAGGCATCAGTCAAGAAAAAAGGCTGAAGACGAAGAATAAAGTGGCAGAGAAATTTGTACCTCACAGCAGTGACAACGAATGGCATTGCTATTTGAACACTGAGGGTGAGATCCTGGCCCCAAGTGAAGTTAGGGGAAACCAGCTGCATGAGCCTGGGTTTTTATACCAGGCTAAGGAAATGTTAATATCCAATATTCCAGGCAAGTTTGTGCAGTGGACGTAGCCAGAAAGAAGATGCTACACTGAAATTAGTGCCCTGAAATGTACAAATGTTAGGAGTTACGTTATATAGTATTTTCTTTCAAAATTATGCTCGGGAATAGTCTTAGATGAGGATCTGCTCGTAGGCACTGACCAACTAAGAAGAAAAGGTGTCTTCTGATCCAAAGAACTGAAAATGCAGTTACGCCTCCCCAGAAATCTGCAGGCAACATTCAAAGCCTTTATGAGATAATAGTACTGATCTCAGTAAACCAGCAACCTTACCTAACTGTCTTCCTTGTTAGTAAGGGAGACTCTTGCAGAAGACTCTGAAGGAATATAACGCAGCATCTTGGTTAGTATTTAGGGCTGGCTTCTCCCAAACAGGGGAGCGGTGCAGGAGAAAGGATAACGGTGGGTGTTTGGAAACTTAATAACCCGGTGATGAAGAAGACATCATCTGGCCCTTTCTGTCTAAAACTATGTTTAAAACAAAAGATAAGGTAAAGGTACAAAGAAAGTCCATGAGAAATACTGGCAATAAACAATTACTTATATACAATATTCAACAGATTTATTTAAATAAGTATATTATTTAATAAGAAAGAGTCTTTAATCGGAAAAAAGAGGCAGCTGATGGGTCTATCATCATTAATTTCTCGAAGGAGACAAATAAATTGCCATTCAAGTGTTTCTCATAACATAAGAACTTATAAAATTACTGTGAAGCACATAAAAATCTCAAAAGGGAAATGCTTTTTAAAGGATCCACAAGTAAATTGCAGAACTTACTGCCACAGAATCACTTGGCTCCCAAAATACCTGTGAGCTCCAAAAGCAGTTAGGCAAATTCATGGTAAAATGATCCACCCAAACCAATTTGAACACCATGATGCGGATGCAGCCTCCCACTCAGAAGGTCCCTAAAACTGTGCTTAGTCAGAAGCAAGGAGGCTGCATGAAGAGAAAGCATCACTTGCCTACTTGCCCTGATTATTTTCCTAATTAGCAGTTGGCTAAAATCAGAGACATAGTAATAGCAGCTAATTGTCTTTTGTAGCCATCTGTTGTGTTTTGTTAAGTCTCACCCAACAGAGTCATTTTGGGTTAAGTTGTATCTTTTTTCCTGGAATTCTGTAGGTACAGTAGAGTGCAGTTAGGAAATGCATAGCTGTAATGGATATTCCAGCCGTTTAGGTTGGCACACATCTCATATAAAAGACGTTGAGGTAGTATGGCTTCAGAAACGTGGGGTGATGACAGAAAGCTCTGAAAACATTTTAAATGTGGATCTGTATAAAACTTGGTCTTGCTAGACTGCCTAAACAGGTGTGTCGCTCTGGGTAGTGCATTCGTCCAGTACAATAAACTGTAATAAAAGATGAACGGCCCCATAAAATTATATTGATCCAGTGCTTTACTGTATGATGTCCTCACTCGAGAGCGTGTACCCATTTGCAGGTAAATGGACTTGTGATGAAAGTTCTTAGTCCACTGAAATGAAACAGTGCTCAGAACGTATTCAGTAGGCTTTATAATACACCACACTGGGGTTTGTAAGTCAAAGGAATATCTGTATTGCGTAAATTATGAAATCAATACAAGGGATGGTTTTCACATGCTGCTTAGTCTGATGTGTCCCTTCCTACAGTAATGTAAACACCGGCCAGTATCAGTGCTGCTGTATTTACTGTTGCCAAGTTGTATGTGATTACAAACATAGAAGAAGCTTTATTCTTCCAACCCAAAGGAAACTTAAACTCTCTTCCCTTTCCCCATCCTTTCTCCTTCCTCAGTAGGAATGAAAATTCCACATCTTTGATGTCTGCCTTTCTGGTGTTTTAAAAAAAAAAAGTTAAGATGAAAACAGCTGAAGCTATAGAAGGTAAAACGGTGTCAATTCTATGTAAAGATACCCCAGCTGGCTTTCTGTTAACAGCCCTGGATGCCGAAAATGGCTTAGGTGTGGCAGCAAGCTCCCCGTGGCGGCGGAGATGCCGCTGTGGGCTTTAAAATGGCTACTTTGTGCATCTGAGCTTTGAAAATGGCAAACTGGAAATAGTGGATTTAAGTTGAGATCCTGTCAGGAAAAATCGATGGTCTAGTTAATCCAGCGTTGGCATTTTGTCATTTCTGTCCAGATCAACTGAATCCCATGAACACTGCTTAGAAAGAAAAATGTTTTCATTTGCAAATTATCAATGGATTTGGGGATTGAAAAAAATTATTGCTGCTGCACGACACTGTTCCTCTGCAACAGACTGCCCACGCGGAAAACCATGCTGGTCTGTCCTGTTGCTGAATGTCCTTATGTGCATAATCACTGTTGGAGAACTCTCCAAGCAGAAACTAGTGGTTAGTTAAAATGTTCATTTTAGCTTTGCAGTATTGCTTCCTCTGTTCTTTTGTTCAACGCCGATTATTATTATGAGGATCATGAGTATGAATTAAGTCCTGTTTTAAAATTTCAGAATGAATGTAAGTTGTTACATTCCTTAAAATATTTATTGCATGTTTAAAAATGCTTTTTCTTGATGTGTACTGTTTAACTCAAATCCTGGTATATATCTGCAATAGAGCTATAACTAAACAGGAATAGTTCTTGTGATAAGAATTTAGAGTAGGTGACACTGCCGAATTAGGAAATGTTTTATATTTCTCAAGATTATGAAAATGTCACTAGTGGCAAGCTTGTTCATTTTAGCTGTTAGAACTGATTTTTTCAAGAACGACGTTTATGAAGCATATAGTTGTGTAAACTTAGAGATACACGTTTGGTATTTGACACTGAATGTTTTATTAATATAAATATAGTGAAAGTTTTATAACCAGAAGTGTTATTGTTAATCTTTAATTATTGAATTATCTGTTCTACAAAAGTGTTTTAATTAACTGGAGTTCATTTTATCCAAAACAATGCATGGGCATTTATTCTTGCAGTTTTAAAATGACTGTGGTTTAAGAAGTCCATTTGCTTGCCTAACTCAATAGAGGGATATTTTGGGAAAGTGTCATTATAAATCCTTGTCTAATGCATATTTTTCTTCACCAAATAGTCACAACAGTAAAAATAATCGTGTTTGCCACCTAGCTAAGGTGATGCTGTTACCGATATTGTGGATTTTGCATTCTCCTTAATGGTCTGGAGTTCACAGCTCTGCTGCATGCTGAAGTGCTTGGGGTGTCTGCTGAAGATTAAACTGTAGCCTGACAAAAATTGAGCAGAGCAACATTGATCCTTTTCTGGTTGACTGCCTGAATTAAATAAGTGATTTAATCAATTTACTGTGTAATGTATGTTAATATCATTGCTTCATGAATATTGACAAAAATCTTTTTAAACTTGCAGCAAGTAGTGGCAGCAATAAATGCAGGAATCATACCTTTAGGAAACACATCTACTCAGATCAGTCACTGGGACTTGGGAAGTTCCTTCTTCTTTGCTGGCACTGTTATTACCACCATAGGTAGGACACAGCTTATTATCTTTTCATAGTAAATGAGCTGAAACGCTTTTGATTTCCGGTGTGTACATATGTTTGTTAATGGTAAATCTTCCAAATCTTCTGGTTCAAAGTAGAGAATTGCTTTTCAGCTGCAGGGGCAGAAATTTTAGCTGTCTGTAAGAACCCTAGCTGAGTAAATGACTCTTCTGTAGAAGAAAAATGTTGCTCTGTATTTCTGCGAGGTGAATTTCTGCGAGGTGACTCAAAGAGGTTGTGGAAACATTTTCTAGGGGGAATTTGGTCAACTGTGTAATCAGAAGTGTTAAATAGGGCATGATTTAAAGCACATGTGCATTAAACCCTGACTGAGATGTACGGAATTTTAAGTCTGTATAATCCCATTCTATATTGCTATTTTCTCTAAATTGTGAAAAAGCTGAGAACATGGCAAAGATTCAGTTCAGCTTAATTTGATCAGTTATGAGTGTTGTATTGATCGGCAGCTTTGTGTTCCAAGGCTTACTTTGAGGCTTCTGTTGAATTCAGAGAAGTCCCAAGCTGTAGGGTGATGTACCCGTGCTCACAAGCCCAGGGAGTTTTCTGGATCCCTTCTGCATTTGAGAGCCAGTGTCCCTCTGAGCAGGTGGGAGTGAGAGCAGCGTTTGATCTTCCAGTTTCTTCCCTTTGACTGCAATACAGTGCGCATGGAATACGGTTCAAAGGGGTAGTGTAGCTCACAGATCATAGAAGGGGCATCCACAGAGGTGGCTGGAAATCTGAAGAAGCAATCAAATGTGAAAAATTTAGGACCTACATTATGAGATCAATGTATATGGAACTGTAGGACTGTTACAATAATTATCTCTATGTAATATTTATATGCATATTGTGATGGTAGGGGATGTTCTTTTCAAGTGTTGTATGTACCTTTGTTCTTCCTTTATCTAGAAGTGCATGAATACGATGTTTTGCGTTGTTTGAGTATATATATGTCTATATGTATGTATAAATATTCTGTCTATACGTAGTATTTTTTCACATCTAGAATAACTGAAACACAGGTTTAGTGAAAACAGAGTGAAACTTTTATGTCCCTGAGGCTAGCAGCAGACCTAATGATTTTATAGTAGTAGATCCACAAGGTAATAAAAAATCAAGTGTGGAAAAAAGTAATTTTAACATATTATAACCAAGAAGCTTGAAAGGATAGCTTTATGATCAGTCTTAAGTTATCCTCTTCTGACAGCACAAAACTTTATGTTGTAAGTAAGTATCCATGGTCCTGTAAAAAGTGCATAATACTTGTTTCAGTTCCGAATTTAACGTATGAAAAGTTAACGTATGAAAAATAACCGTAGTAAAAGTAAAAAGTTAACGTATGAAAAGTGTTCAAGGAATTAAATGATTCAAAAATTATGTTAAAGCAGTGGAAAATTTTGTTCCACTATTTTGTTTCTAAGTAAAACTAAAGCCTTTCTAAATAAAAACATTTCCTGATTTAATTTGTTGACCTGATTCAACCCAAACATGCATGAGTCCTGCTTAGAGGAGAGAAAGGGATCTGCAAAGGCATCCAGGCCACAGATCCACTGTCCCCAAGAGGTAAGATAACCCAATAGGAAAAACAGTTGAAAATTAATATTTCAGGTAATTTCTGCAAACCAGAGTCGTCAGAATCAGGTCAGACTCGGCAACTGTAAATATTTATTTCAGGTTTTATGACAGAAAACTGAGAATATCTAGGGAAAAAAAAAGTCTTCAGTAAAATATTTTGGCTTTGGAGTAACTGTCTTTTTCATCAGAGACCCTTTCTGATAGGAAGCTCCCCGTCATTTGCCATTTTGAGCTTTGTTTCTCAGGACCTGAGGACAGCGCGCTTACATGAAAGCTGTAGCACGGCTGGTGGTGTCTTTCTGCTCTGAACCATCTTCCTGATGGGTCATGGGGCTTGCAGTGTGACAGCAGGTGGAGCTGTCAGGGAAAGCCCTTGGAATTGTGACTTTCCTGGGAAAATGGTGACAAGCATAGAAGTTGGGTGTGCTTTCCCTTATTTTTTATATTAGCACATGCCGCCAAATGATTTTTGTGTTCAGAGCAGTATCTTTTCATATATGAGTAACCTTTTGAAAATGAAGGCATTCCTTCCAATTAGGGGGCATATGGTATTCATGTAACTTGATATTTTAATTTCTCAAGAGACGGTTTACGAGCATCTTCAGAGAGTTGCCATAGGTTTCAGCCAAACACTACAGATATTCTTTATGGACAAAGACACAACCTTATAAATTCATAGAACAACTTTACAGAAATAATTTATAAAAGTGATTATAAAAATAAGAATTAAATTTATAAATATTATGTGCTTTAGACTATATACCTTAAGAAGTACTTGAATAGAAGAAAAAAGGATTACTACCATTTAGAGAAAATGATAGCTTTCCAGTGCTGCAGCAGATTCCCTAGCTTTCCAAACCTCTTATTACTATAATTTTACCTTATCATTTAGCCCACACTCCTCCTGGTGATATCTCAGAATCTAAGAAATTCAAATGGAACAAAGAGTTTATTTACAGGTAGTGTTTCCCAAACCTTTCTTCAATGACACTAGCACTTGCATCGCACAAGTATTTGGTTCTTGGGAAGAGGGGATAACAAATAAAGCCTTTAGCATTTCCCTAAGCAATAAGTTACTGTTTTACAGTTACTGTTATTGCTGTATCACAGTAGTGATGAACATTTAAGTGAAAAATATTGACCGTGTGTTTTGGTGGCTACTGGCAGCAGTCCAGAACCATCTGTAGTTTCTTACTCTTCTGGGTCTCCTGCAGGCTGCTGAAAGGCTCTGTGATGGGGACATGTAAATCTACTGAGCTCCAAAGCCATCTAACAGAAGCAGAGGTAACACTACAGAAAGCATGGCTTGGTGTTTATTTAACAGGCTTTTTTATTCTCTTATAAACCTTCACGTTATCCAATAAATGTTACAGTGAATATTGTGAAATGAATAAACACATTTTTAATAGAACATAATCTGTCATACTGCTACTAAATCTTTCCTAAGAAATGGATTTGGTTGAGAGGTCAGGGTCAAACAATTTCGTAAGACTTCCTTTAGAAAAGATCCTCTGTAGCTTTTTTTCCCCATGTCTGAGTGGGTTGGTTTTGGCTTTGCATTTACTACTGTGCAACAGCACAGAACTTGTCTCAGGAAGGGACCTCACTGGTTATAGGTTTGGCTTGCTTAGTTAGGTGTTCTCACTTGTGGGTATGTTTCTAGAACAAATACACCTCACCTCAACAAAGAAATGTGAAACTATGTGATTACTCTGTGTGTATGGAGCAGTTTCAGACAGTCCCTAAGAGCGAAAAGGGTGACAGGAGGAAATTCCAATGCAAAAACTGTCTATGAAGAATACTGTTGCATTGTTCCCTGGGATACTGTGCATGCTGCAAAGCACAAAAGATACTCTGTTTTTCTACGTGAAAATGTAATTTTCCAGTCAGTCTTGTTGTAAGACCACGTCCAAAGAAAAGCAAAAGCAAAAAACAATGGTAACGCAACCACAAAGCTGGAGATAGTGCTGAGGAAGAGGGGAAAATAATCTTTATGCCACCTCTTTTTATTCTGAGAGCTCATTGTTGGCACTGTGCATGTGTTTTTACCCTCTAGATCATTTCCTTCAATAGGTAGCTTAACTCAGAAATGGGCATACAGACACAACATATGCACACCCCGCTTCCCCCTAGACAACTTATATTTTAGAGCCCCAAAAAGTTTTAAATTGGCAGCAGGGTAGGAAAGGAGACGTCCCTTACTGCAAGCTTGAGACCTGTATCAAGAAGAATAGAAAACCAAAGTAGACATGCCAAGGCCCTGAACTTAGCAGTTGTTTTCCCAAATGACCGCTGTCTCAGCACATAACAAATGTAGTGTCAACCGTAATATCAGAAACCACATCATGAAAACCTCTACTAGACTCCTGTGGATCTTCATCTAAAATAGCTGTATTACTTCTGCTGTTATTCCAGCCAGTCTATAATAACTTTCTCAAGCACTGCAAGTAGACATGTAGTGGAAAGGGCACTTATTCCGACTCCTGGAGGATGGAGTGTCTTGAATAGCAGTTGTGAGCATGTTGGGAGTACCAGCAACCTCCCCAGTAGCTGTGGTTTGCTAGAAAGCATCCTTTCAAACAGAGCCATGTCTACACAAGGGTGAGCTCCCAGAGCTCCATTAATACCTTAGCACTTGAGGATACTTTGCAGCCATATTGGTGTCCAAATCCAATAGTTGCTAATAACTGTCTACAAATCAAAAAAGGAAGAACACATAATTTCTTTTTGTCCTTTTCCACTTCTTTTCACCTTGATTTTTGAACTCAGAGTTCTCATATGCACTGGAAACTGATCCTCTTGAGAAGTTCACTCGTGACTAAAGTCTTTATCTTAGCTTCGTGCAGCTAGCTGTGGTAATATGGTTATGGTTTTGGGGTCCAAAAGCCTAGCAACTGTTATTAAAGAGTGCAAAGGAATGTGAATATTTTTAAAAAAAAAAGAAACAAACTGTAAATATTTATTTTTTTAGGGAACAGTTGTGAATAGCAAGCAGCTAAGATTCTGAAAAAGATTAATATTTTTGAATAGAAATGTGAACTTGATTTGTCACTTTTAGAGTTGCAATTAGTTATGTAGCTTCACATGCAACTTCACTGTAAGGAATACTTTCTGCCACTTTTCCACTGCCTGGACACAAGCTTTTCTTATGAAGGCAGAGTATTTTAAGAAGTCTTATTACATTGCTTATTGGTTTGAAACAATAATAAAATCGTGCTGCTAAATCTGTCCCTTCTGGCACCATTTCACTGCATTTTTGAAATACCAAGTAACAGAACAATGTGTTGATAACTAAAATATACAAAATATGTTTGATGTTATAAAAAGACAAATATTGTTGATAGTCAAATATGTTACCTATTATGTCAGATATTCATAAGGATAAAAAATTGCAAATGACGTTGAAA